GAGAGAAAAGAAAATTTAGGCTCAATCCAGGTGTGTCTGGTTTATGGTATCACCATAAACATCTCGCTGTAGCCATCACTGCTGCAAGCATTTTCTCTCATAACTGATAAGCTGTAAGGCAATTTTGCCATAAAAGATAAAATAACTGGCTGAAAGTTTGGTTCCATTTCTCCATGACAAATCAGAGGTCTTCTGTAGAGTTAATGTATTGAAGCAACTTGCCAGTTTGTTTTTATTTCTCTAGTGACAAAGTTCCCATAATTCATATTATATAAATCTTAGCTAGCCCTCATAATGGTTTATGCAGTAGACGTGGTGGTCTTAAAACAGTGGATGATAACAACTACATATATCTATGTGATAGGAAATGTGGTGATAAAATTTACTGGAAGTGTTAAGTGTAAAGCCACATTACATACTATCCTAGAAAATGGTAGCATATCAGTTACAATAATAACAAAGCTCAGTTATAAATGCATTACAGCATTAACATTTCTCCCACAATTAAAAAAATTGTAATACTTTTTTTTTAAATATTTTATTTATTTCTAGGAGAGAGAGAGATAGCGTGAGCAGGGGAGGGTCAGAGAGAGAGGGAGACACAGACTCTGAAACAGGCTCCAGGCTCTGAGCTGGCAGTTAGCACAGAGCCCGACGCGGGGCTCGAACCCACAAACCGCGAGATCATGACCTAAGCGAAAGTCGGACGCTTAACCGACTAAGCCACCCAGCCGCCCCAAAAAAATTGTAATACTTTTTATTTATTTGAGACAGAGAGAGAGAGACAGAGAGAGAGCGAGTGCCCGCGAACACAAGTGGGGGAGGGGCAGAGAGCAAGGGAGACAGAATCTGAGGCTGACTCCAGGCACTGAGCTGTTAGCACAGAGCCCATACAGGGCTCGAACCCACGAGCAGTGAGCTCGTGACCTGAGCTGAAGTCGGATGCTTAACCGACTGAGCCACCCAGGAGCCCCTTTTCCACAATTTTCATGGAACTTTAGAACATCCATCAAGGAGCATGTGAGTATATGCCAAGAACAAACAATAGTGTAGAAGGCTTTCATAATGAAATACAAAGCTCAGTTAAAAATATTACATCTTAGTATTTGGAAAACTGATGCCTCTCAATGAATGAAGAAATCAATATTTAATTTTATTAATATTTCCATGCTTTCTTATGACCTTTTTAAGTGTCCTTGTTTTGTTTTGTTTTTTAATTTTATCTTTTATGGCAAAATTGCCCCAGAGCCAATTAGTTATGCAGTGGAAAAGTTTGTGGCAAAAATGCTTACAGCAAAGATGTCTACCACAAAGATGTTTATGGCAAACTACCTTAGAACCCAATCCAGATTGAACATCCAACCCATAGGAGTTCAAAAAAAAACAAAAACAAAACGAGGGGGTGGGGGAAGGGGTGGAATTATCAAAGAAAGACATTTTCCCGGAAGTAAAAGAGGTGTTTTTCCAGATTGAAATCCATCTAGAAAGTGCCTTGCAAAATGAAGAAAGACGACTCACAGAAAGGCATTTAATCCTGAAATGGCAGAACAGCAGAGATAAAATTCTCTAAATGCTTCACATAGAATAACAGATTGCAGACAGAAGTTTAGGCATGATAACAAAGAATGAAATTGGACTTTTCAATAATGATACTGTAAACCAGAAGAAAACGGAGAAATATCTTTAAACTCCAAAGGGAGAGTATTTACTATCTAGAATTCCCAAAAAAAAACAACCAATCAATCCAGTCTAAGATAAAATAAAGGTGTTCTCAGACATGCAAGATTACAAAAAGCTTTATTCCTATTGAATCTTTTCTCAGGAAGGTATGTTTTCCACCAAAAAAGGGGATTTAAGAAAGATGAAGACAGGGACACCTGGGTGGCTCAGTCGGTTAAGCGTCCGACTTCAGCTCAGGTCATGATCTCGGGGTTTGTGGGTTCGAGACCCGCATCAGGCTCTGTGCTGACAGCTCAGAGCCTGGAGCCTGTCTTTGGATTCTGTATCTCCCTCTTTCTCTGACCTTCCCCCGCTCATGCTCTCTCTCTCTGACTCTCAAAAAATAAATGAAAAACATTAAAAAATTTAAAAAAAGAAAAAGATGAAGACATGAACCAACACAGGAGAAAGGAAAAGGGAATACCCAGAAGGATGATGAAGAAAATTTCTAGGATTACAACTATATGATGGGCCCAAAAAGCAGCCACTACAGACTGAGGCAAGAGAGCAAAACTCTCCAGAACTGAAGTGTCCAAGAGAAAAAAAAAGTGGGATCAATGTATTTCACTACACAGAGAGATGTATTAGCATTGTAACACAATCTGGGGATGACTAAAGGGTAAACATCTAAGAAATAAAGCAAATGGAAAATGAAACAATTATTCACCTACAGGAAAAAATTACAGGTAACTTTATATGTCAAAAATGTAATCATTGTATACATGTGACTCAATCTTAAAAAATAATTACATAATCATCCTAATCTAAGCACTGACTATTTAGTCCCATATTATAATATTGTAGTTACTCCAATATTTTAAAGAACAGGATGAGAGAAACTTTTGAGTGGAAGTAATGTGAGAGAGTTAAGTATACTTTTTCCATAGTAGGAAGTCAGCAGATAATTCCTAATATTGAAAAATCAATAAAAAGTACTATAAGCATGCTTCATGACAGGAAGGATAAACACGAGTGTTGAGAGGAGAGTCCAACTATGGGGCTGGTGATGAGAACTGAAAAGTAGCAGGGCTGGGGGATCCTTTCTGTTATAAATCTTAGGGTGTCATTTCACTTGTACTGTTTTAATAGAAAATTTTTTAAATAATGAATCAATAGTTAAAAAGATCTGTAGGTACAGATCTGTTGTCTGTTGTACAGCCAGATTTGAGAACTACTGGGTGAAAGGACAGGGCAAGGACCGACCGTCTGTCCCCCATCACTGCAGATAGCATACACCTCTGTGGTTTTGTGGGGGTTTTTTGAAAGTATGCAGTCAATTTATTATTTATAGAAGGATTTCTTTTCTTTTTTAAAAAATACAATTTATTGTCAAATTGGCTAACATACAGTGTGTAAAGTCTGCTCTTGGTTTTGGGGGTAGATTCCCATGGTTCATCATTTATGTCAACACCCAATGCTGATCCCCAACAAGTGCTCTCCTCAATGCCCATCTCCCATTTTCCTGCTCCCCTCCCCATCAACCCTCAGACTGTTCTCTGTATTTAAGAGTCTTATGGTTTGCCTCCCTCCCACTCTCCTTGTAACTATTTTTTTGCCCCCCTCCCTTCCCTCTTGGTCTTCTGTTAAGTTTCTCAAGATCCACATATAAGTGAAAACATAGGATATCTGTCTTTCTCTAACTGACTTATTTCACTCAGCAAAATACCTTCCAGTTCCATCCACATTGCTGCAAATGGCATGATTTCATTCTTTCTCATTGCCAAGTAGTATTCCATTGTATATATAAACCACATCTTCTTTATCCATTCATCAGTTGATGGACATTTTGTCTCTTTCCATAATTTGGCTATTGTTGAAAGTGCTAGCATACACCTTTAAAAGGATAATACTAGACATAATTATGCTCTATCTTTGCTTTCTAACTCTGATGGTTATTCATTCAATAAATTTGTTGAGCACCAATTATGTACCAACCACTGTGAGAGGTTCTGAGTATATAACAGGGAAGTGCAGGGTCAAGGCTCCTCCCCTGGAGTCCAGAGGGAGATAGGGACAGTAAGCAAGGAAAACAAATTAACAAAACATCTACAGATTGTTATAAATCCAAGGAAGGAAAGAAATAAAATGATAGGAGTGAATAAAGAGACAACTGGAAAAATCAAAAGGCCAAGATTCAGGTCTTAGCTTCACAGTTATGTAGTATGAACTTCAGCAAATCCCATCACCTTTCTGAGCCTCCAGTTTTGGGTCTATCAATCACAGATAATACTTCTAACCTCACTGGTTCTTACAAGGATTAATTTAAATGGAGTAGATGAGTGAATTTTCAATTTATAAATCCCTATTAATATATAAGATTTTTACCCTTAGGGGAGCCCCTGTCAATTCTTAACTGGTTTCTTTGCCTGTTTCCTTAGGGTTCTATGGTGCACATTGCCAACAGATTCAGACACCTAATGATTGTTTTCATTTTGATGTTCTCACATTCAAGTTTTGGCTTAGAGGTAAATCTAGTATCTGAACTTGGCTTCAGGGCCCTTTAGAAATCTACAAGCAATATAACTATCTGGACTTTTTTTCCTCCTCACTCTTACCCTTCCCACTTCCCCTCCAGCAATGGAATACTTTGTGCCTCTACATGTAGTTCATTTTTAACTTACATTACAGCAAAATTCACTCTTTTTGGTGTGCAGTTCTATGAGTTTTGACTAATGCATAGCCATATAACCAGCACCACTATCAAGATGTGGAACAGTTTCAAATCTGGGTGCCTGACACATGCATACACACACACACAGAATCTCCTTACATTACCCCTTTGTAGTCAGCCCTACCCATTAACAGAATCCTTATCTATTCTTCATTTCTATAGTTTTGCTTTTTCAAAAACATCATAAATATAATAACATAGTATATATCCTTTTGATTCTTCATTCACTTAACAGAATGCAACTGAGATTCATCTCTTACTGTGTATATTAGTAGCTTCTTCCACGTTGTTGCATTGTAGTATTTCACTGTTTATCCATTTCTCAGTTGAGAGACATTTCTATTCCAGTTTTTGGCAATTATGAATAAAGTTGCCATAAACATTCACATACAGGTTTTATTGTGTAAACATAAATTTTCATTTTACTTGGAGTGATGGGATTCCTTTGTCATTCTGATAGATGTCTAGCAGTATTTAATTTACATTTCCCTAATGACTAATGATGTTGAACATCTTTGCAAGTGCTTATTTCAAATCCAATTCACATATCTTTTTTCTTTCATTCTTTCTTTCTTTCTTTTTTTTTTTTTTTTTGGTTTAGTAGGCTCCATGCCCAACATGAGACTTGAACTCATGACCTTGAGATTGAGAGTCACACACTCCACCAAATGAGCCAGCCAGGCACTCCAGTCCATGAATCTTCTTTGGCAAAGGGTTTGATCAAAGTTTTTGCCCATTTTTAAAGCTGGGTTGTTATTTTGAACAGAAAGAACAAAGTTTAAGGATTCCTATGACCTGATTTTAAGTCTTATAAAGCTATAGTAATTAAGAGATTGGGGTATTGGGGAAAACAGACACACAGATCAACTGAACAGAATCCACAGTCCAGAAATACACTCATGTAAATATGGTCAATTGATAATTGGCAAAGGTGCACAGGCAATTCTGTGGAGAAAGAATGTTCTTTTCAACAAATAGTGCCAGAACAATTGAAATGTTAATATGCAATTATCTTCTGTGGCTTGTCTTTGACCCATACTTCACCCCGTATATAAAAACTAACTCAAAATAAATCTTAGACCTAAATACAAAGTTTAAAACAATAAAACTTTTAGAAGAAAACAGGACAAATCTTTGTGACCTTTACTCAAGAAAAGACTTCTTAGATACAAAAATCAAAAACACAAAACATAAAAGAAAAAATTGGTAAATGAGACTTGATCAAAATTCGACAGTTTTCTCTGTAAAAGATACTGGCAGTAGAATGAAAAGATAAGCCAATGAAACAAGATAGACAGCCCAGGAATAAGCCCACACCTATATGGTCAATTAATCTTTGACAAAGGAGGCAAAAACATACAATGAGGGAAATGGTGTTGGGAAAGCTGGGCAGCTACATGCAAAAGAATGAAACTGGACAACTATCTTACACCATACACAAACACAAACTCAAAATAGATTAAAGACCTAAATGGAGGGGCGCCTGGGTGGCTTAGTCGGTTAAGCGTTCGACTTTCGCTTAGGTCATGATCTCGCGGTTCGTGGGTTCAAGCCCCGCGTCGGGCTCTGTGCTGACTGCCAGCTCAGAGCCTGGAGCCTGTTTCAGAGTCTGTGACTCCCTCTCTCTCTGACCCTCCCCTGCTCACGCTGTCTCTCTCTCCTAGAAAGAAATAAAAACATTTAAAATAAATAAATAAATAAATTCAGTAAGATAATAAGATAGTGGTTATCTCACCCTGTAATATTAAAAGTGAAATTAATGTAGAAGGGAGGAAAAAAGACACTGGAATAAAGTCGATTTTTCCAATTAAAAAGAAATAAGTTGATGTATATAATCAGACANAGTCTGTGACTCCCTCTCTCTCTGACTCTCCCCTGCTCATGCTGTCTCTCTCTATCTCCTAGAAATAAATAAAACATTAAAAAAAAAAAAAAGACCTAAATGGAGACCTGAAACCATAAAACTCCTGAAAGAAAACATAGATAGTAATCTCTTGGACATTGCTCTTAGCAACATATTTATGAATATGTCTCCTCAAGCAAGGGAAACAAAAGTAAACATAAATTATTGGGACTGCACGAAAATAAAAAGCTTTGCATAGCAAAGGAAACTATCAGCAAAACAAAAAGGCAACCCAGTGAATGGGAGAAGATATTTACAAATTATATATCCCATAAGGGATTAATATCCAAAATATATAAAAACTCATACATCTGAACATCAACAAAACAAATACTCACTCAGAAACGAAGAAATAGACTCTTACCTATAGAGAACAAACTGATGGTTACCAGAGGGGTGGTGGGTAGGGAGGTGGGTAAAATAGGTGATGGGGGTTAAGAGTACACTTATCATGATGAGCACTGAGTGATGTACAGAATTTTCAAATCACCGTCTTGAATACCTGAAACTAATGTAACACTAAAAGTTAACTATACTGGAATTAAAACTAAAAAACTAATTTTAAAAACATCAAAGATGAAAAGGGGAAAAAAAAGGGAAGAGAATTTCAAAGGTAATACCAAATGGGAATATTCTGAGTGGGAATGTAAATAATAAGAGTGACAGTTTTGAATTAAAAAAAAAAAAAAGAGGACATGAATAGACATCCTTCCAAAGAAGACATCCAGATGGCCAACAGACACATGAAAAGATGCTCAGCATCCCTCATCATCAGGCAAATGCAAGTCAAAACCACAATGGAGATAACACTTCACACCTATCAGAATTGCCAATATCAAAAAGACAAGAAATACTAACTGTTGGCAAGGATGTGAAGAAAAGGGAACTCTTGTGCATTGTTGGTAGGAATGTAGAGTGGTGCAACCACTGTGGAAAACAGTAGGGAGGTTCTTCAAAAATTAAAAATAGAGGGGTGCCTGGTGGCTCAGTCGGTTAAGCGGCCGACTTCAGCTCAGGTCATGATCTCACCATTGGCGGGTTTGAGTCCCACGTTGGGCTCTGTGCTGACAGCCTGCTCAGAGCCTGGAACCTGCTTCAGATTCTGTGTCTCCCTCTCTCTCTGACCCTTCCCTGCTCGCTCTCTCTCTCTCTCTCTCAGAAATAAATAAAACATTAAAAAAATTTTTTAAATTAAAAATAGAAATACCATATGATCCAGTAATTCCACTGCTGGGTATTCACACAAAGAAAGAGAAAATACTAATTCAAAAAGATATATTCATTTCTATGTTTATTGCAGCATTATTTATACTAGCCAAGATATGGAAGCCACCAATTATCCATGTAGATGAATGGATAAAGAAGATGTGATATATATATAATAGAATATTACTCAGCCATAAAAAAGAATGAGATTTTGTCTTTTGTAATGACATGGATGGACCGAGAAGGTATTATGCTAAGTGAAATAAGTCAGACAAAGACAAATATGATTTCATTTACATGTGGAATCTAAAATATGAAGAAACAAAAACTACCAGAATCCTAAATGCAGAGAACAAACTGGCTGTTGCCAGAGGGGAGATGGGTGGGGGTGTTGGGTGAAATAGATAAGGGGGATTAAGAGGTATAAATTTCTAGTTATAAAATAAATAAGTCATGAAAGTGAAAAGTACAGTATAGGAAATACACTCAATAATATTATAATAACATGGTATGGTGACTGCACTTACCATAGTGAGCTCTGAGTAATGTCTAGAATTGTTAAATCACAATGTCATACACTTGGAACTAATATAACATAGTTTGTTAACTATAACTCAACAACAAAAAAATTAGAAAAAAAAAATTTGAGAGACAGTGTGCACATAAGCAAGAGGCGGGCAGAGAGACAGGGAGAGAAAATCCCAAGCAAGGCCTGTGCTGTCAGTGCAAAGCCCAATGTGGGCCTAAACCCATGAATGATGAAATGGTGACCTGAGCCGAAATCAAGATTTGGACACTTAACTACTTAGCCACCAAGGCACCCCTAAAAAAACTAGAAAATTTTGCTCTGTGAAAGATATTGGCAGGAAAATGAACTTGGCTTCAGAGAAGATACTTGCAAATCGCACATATGACAAAGGGCGTGTAGCCAGTATAAAACTATCTACTTTTAAAGAAATACTTTCCATTCTTTCAGGCTCAACTCAAATTTCATCTCTATGAAAACATCGATGATCAGATTAAGTAGAATTCATGTCTGGACCACTAGTAAGTGAATCAATATTTCTCAGCCATTATTACTTTTCTATAAAATATACTCTAATAAACATACACTAATATTCTGGTCCCCTTTTTGACCAAAACCTTCTATGTATTTGGCAGATGCTTGTCACATTGCAGTATGTTACCATGGAATGACAGGAAATAGATAATAGTACCGTGGATTGATGGGCTCGCCTTACAGAACCCCCATTGCTCGTTACTGCTTAGCTCTAGGAAGTTTATATCTAATGAAGGCAAGGCTGAAAAGATATATATTTTTAACTGTGTATAATGTCTTGCATGGATCTGTGAATATGTATTTGTCTATATACAGTTATACAAATTTTTAAAAAATGGAAAAAATGTAACATATATTTCATTTATTTTGTTGAAATAGTAACTCTCCCACTCAGTTTTAGCTCTTACCAAATATACGGTTGCATTATTATTTTCTTTTACAATCAAAAGCTTTGGCTTTGTGGAGACCATTTATTCTGACCTTGTTTTTCAAAAAACCTTGATTTGCTAAATTTAAATGCAGCTTCTTTTACTAAGGATCAACAGAAGAGCTCTTAATAAATTAATACCTTGGACAGTGGTATTCCAGGAGCCCTGGAAAATATGTAATCTTGATGTTCCCCTCAAAGATTTGAAGATAGGGGCGCCTGGGTGACTTAGTCGGTTAAGCATCCGACTTTCGCTTGGGTCATGATCTCGCGGTTCGTGGGTTCGTGCCCGCGTCGGGCTCTGTGCTGACTGCCAGCTCGGAGCCTGGAGCCTGTTTCAGTCTGTGACTCCCTCTCTCTCTGACCCTCCCCTGCTCACGCTGTCTCTCTCTCTCCTAGAAATAAATAAAAAACAAAACAAAACAAAAGATTTGAAGATAATAGGTTTACTATACACAGTTTCCCCATACATACATTAAAGGAAAGGTGGGAACATTCAGAGAGGTTAACACCAGTACAGTGCCTTTGTACAGGTCTCCGCACTCAGGCCCTGTTCTTGATCACCATCTTGAATTTTTTTAAGATTTTATTTTTACATAATCTCTACACCCAACATGGGGATCGAATTTACAACCCCGAGATTAAGAATCGTATGCTGCACTGATGAGCCTGCCAGGCATCCCGTCATCTTCAAATGTGTAATGATTTAATCTTTGAACTTGCATTTTGTAAATGAAGTCTAAAGGGACAACACAGCACAGAAGTAAACAGCGAAGATGTGCACAGTATGTATGACCACCTTCCTCTCCATTCTATTCTCATTAGTATTCTCAGCACCTCATGAGTACAGCATTCCAGTGGACCCACAATGCATGAGATTTAGCAAGTTTGAAGCAAGTCTAAGGTTCAGTGTGTTATGTCTGTGACTGAATAAACAGAGGCACTCACAATCCGAAGAGAGACCATACTTGTCATTCAAAGTAGAATTTGCTTCAAACGCAGAAAGAAGGCAGTGGCATTCTAAGAAACGTGAGCACCCAAGGAATGCTATTATATTCTTTCTTACTGTGCCACTTCCTGTATTGGC